ATGCGTTTGACACGTGGGCAGCGAACAACAGGCACATCAAGTTCCTCGACGTCACGCGCGAGTGTGAGCTCGCCGGCCTAAACTTCGGCCCGCCTAAAAGCGCCAAGCAGCTGGGACAACCCCACGGCGGCTGTCCATTTGCCGAGATCTGGGTCACGCTGCTGGCAATCGGCTCGAGCGGACGCCAGCTGACGGAGTCAGATGAGACGCTCGATGTGGCAGCTGAGAAGTTGGGCGACAACGCCAGGAACCACGTCAACGCGCAGTCCGGCTCGGGTAAGAACCCCGTCGCCACCGCGAAGGCCTGTCTGATAGAGACCGACAGACAAACAGAGAGAGAGAAAGAGAGAGCGAGAGAGGAGAGAGAGAGAGAGAGAGAGAGAGAGCGAGCGAGCGAGCGAGCGAGAGAGCGAGCGAGCGAGCGAGCGAGAGAGCGAGCGAGCGAGCGAGCGAGCGAGCGAGCGAGCGAGCGAGCGAGCGAGCGAGAGAGAGAGAGAGAGAGAGAGAGAGAGAGAGAGAGAGAGAGAGAGAGCTAGAGAGAGAGCGAGAGAGCGCGCGCGAGAGAGATAGATTGATTGACCTCACCTTGTCGCTTGCAGCCATTTATCCGGCGCTCCTCCACCTTCCGCTACACAAACGGCGCGCGCCCCTTCCACAACGAGGTCGTCGAGACCTACGCGGGCGAGTTGACGTTCAACACCGAGGACGTCTGCTGGTACATGGACTCAGCCTTCTGCTCGCAGTTCCACGCCCTCAAGGCCCGCCCGCCCGCCCGCACTTTGCTCTGAACCTGTCGAGGACTGACGGCGAGATGTGCCACGAGAGGGGGCTCGCATTGGCGTCCATCGCCAGGCTCCCTAGCTCAACCGACGACCCTCGTGCCTCGGGGTCGACGTGCCGACCGTTGCGGGGCCGCCCACCTATTGCGGGGCCCGGTCAAGCCAAACCTTCCTCTCACTGTGATTTTGTGGTGAGCTCTGTGACTTGCTTCGCCAACATGGATCGTCATGACTGCGCCGGGGCTCTCCTGCCTGTCTCACAGAGCGATGTGGAGATGGCCCAGAGATGGCCACCCTTCCTCCTCCCTGCCTCGCCCATGCCCCAGTCCCCACCTTGACGTCCGCACCTCTGCCACGCGCCTACTTAGGAGTCGCTCGGCGGCGCGCAAAGCGCGCGCATACTGGTCGACTTTTTGACGTACGGGCTGATGACGCTCGGCCTCGTCTTCTACCTGGTCTTCTTTTGCCGCATCGCGTACCGATCCTTGGGCGCGAGGAAACGGAAGGTGGACGAGGACGGCGACGACGAGTTTTCTTGTCGGGAGCGCGTGACTGCGGGCGTCCGCGCCGTCTCGCACTGGAACCCTTGCGTGCTCAGCACGTTCCTCACGCTCTTGATCGTCCCGCCGCTGCTCAACACGCTCATCTTCTCGCCATGCTTCGACTGCTTCGACTTCGAGGCGCCACGGCACCGCGCCCGGCTTGCGCTCATCTAGCGCGCACTTGAATGCCGGCGGTCCCTGCCCGCACCTAGGCGGCGGCGCTGCACGAGATCGGCCACTTTCTCGGCCTCGGCCACCCCGACAACATCCCCGACAATTGGGTGCAGCGTCCCGCCGAGCGAGCGGCCACGGCACAGCAGAACGCGTCCGTGACGCGTCCGTGACACGTCCCGCACAGGCGTTCCCCGACGTCCCCATCGCCGGGCCGCTGCCGGGAAACAACTCGTTCCACGCCGGCATCGGCGCTGCCGTCCTCGCAGGCCACGCAGCACACACGCAACATCTCACGCACACGCGCTGGAAACCGGCACAAGCCCGCATGACCAGAGTAGCACGACAGCACAGTGTACATGATTCGTGCCATGACGCCGAGCACACTGAACTTCGCCTCTACGCGCACACTGTTCGACCGCTTCTCTCTCGCACCAGTGAGTCCAGCTCGCGCAGCTACAGCTCTCGTCCACCGCCCCCCCCCCCCCCCGGGCCAGTGTACCTTAGAAATGATACCAAGAACACCCCCCACCACTCACCTTTCCTCCAAAATTTCCCTTACCCCTCTCTTTCCTC